TCGCAGAACCGTCTGTGTACACGTGTAACCATAGGGGACTTGGGAACCTCTCTCTTATGGTGTCAAGTGCTAAATTCCTTATTTCTATCTTAGAGCAATTTTGTTGATTGGCTGCAGGAGCTGTAAATTGATTTGTGCTGACTTTGTAGAGATCCTTGGTCGAATCGTCATGAAATTTTATCTTGAAGAAATAAGAAATCCTTTAATTTCTCTAATTGTCACAAATTTCTTATGAACGTGACTTAGGTTTTAGACCACGTTGTGGCAGATTTGCATTCCTTCCATTAGTCGATTTCCAAACGCATCAGTTTCTCACTCATTGTTAGCGCAGCGATCTCATTTCTTACCTTTATGGGTTCTATACACGACTAAAGCTGCATAGCAGCGATAGGTGTTGATTTTGGGACGACAATAAGAATTCGGAAGACCTTGTTTTGTACTTCTTCAATTTTTAGGGTGTTAGACTCTATAAGTAACTCACTTCCGTATTAAAGAACAGGTATCACGAGACTATTATATGCCATCGTCAGAACATCTTGGTTTGCTCCCCATTTCATACCAGTGATCGTCTTAATTAGGCCCAGACGTTCTTCACCTATCTCTACCAAATGGTGTGTATGTTTAGCCCAACTCAACCTGTTGTCTAGTATCACTTCAAAGTATTTTGTTGAATTCGTTTGTTTTAGTTGTTTTTGTGCTTATTTTAAAGTTATATGATGTTCCTTGGTCCAGAGTGAGAAGAGCTGAAATTCGTTTTTCTAAGTATTAACATACATCTCGTTTTCCTCAGTATTTCTGGAATTTTTCAAGAGCTTTATTTAAACAAATTTCTAATGCTTATGTATGACTGCCCGTTGCCAAGAGTACAAGGTCGTCAGAATATTTTGATTCCTGGTATAGACTCAAGAGTCTGTATGAGATAATCTATCCTTATGCAGAACAGAGTTGGGCTAAGGAGCGAGCCTTGAGGGAGGCCCTGGTTTTTATGACTGTATTTGGATGTTTCCTGTCTATAGCTGACACGAGTAAATCTTCGGGCTAGGAAAGATGCAAGATATTTAAATTAATTGTCTTGTACGCCTTTTTTAAAAAGAATTTCGAAAATTTTCTGCCTCCAAACTCTATCAAATCCAGTTTGGAAGTCTACAAATAATGCGAGTGAACTTTCTTCGCGGTGATAGGCCAATCCATTGATTGGGATATGGGATACGATTAAGCATGTCCGGTCAATGACTTAAATTCCCTACGAAGAAGGATTGAACCTTGTGAAACAATAACGCATATCCAGTCCCGTTCTACCACTGCTGCAGTTAAAGAAAGATTCCAAGGTTGTCTTAATGCTCAAGGAAATCAGTTTGAACAACATTTAATATGAATGTTAATGTTAACATTTAATTAATAATGTAGTTGGGACAAATAAATAGGTTTTATTTATTTCATATAACGTAAATAATTCATAACAACGAAAATCTTTAGGTGTGAATATCTCCTAAACAAAGCATTTGCGGACATACCTTCAGAATATTTTTTTTCTTGTTTTGAGATCCTTAGTTCATTTTTGCAGAATAACCCTGCATTTAAACACTCTGTATATTAGGGGGTTTCAATATAGAGGAACTTTTAAACTGCAGAACTAGTGTAAACACATGGAACAGACCACAGGTAAGTGTGACTGTATAATGATCATCAATTTATCCAGTTCTTTTTTTCTTATATTTTTTTAAGAGAAGGGTAATAAATTTTCTTGGAAGGAGGGGGTATGCACCATCAACTTTGGACGAATGAGCATCCTTGTAAAATAAATTTTATGGGAGGTAACACATTAATTTTTATTTGATAAAAATAATACATGAAACCAGGTGTATGATATACCTTGCTACCTATAGCTTAAAAAAATTTAGGGTCTTCTACGATCGTGAAGATTGATAATGACGGATCAGCAACATTCTATGCCTAACAATAGGTACCATTAATGCCTTATAGAAGTATTTTAAGAATTAGACAAGAAATCTGCAAATTTCGATTATTCCAATATTTACTTCACTTACTCACCCAACTTCCAATTTATTACAAAAAATTCACACACATTAAAATGATCAGGCTTAGTTGGACAAAGGGATTTGTGCTTTGAGAATCTTAGAAATCATCCTATTTCTCCAATCCATATAATGAACAGTTCTTCCATGAATCCTTAATGTTCCTTATTAATCCATAAATAAAATTATCCACGAAGACCAACAATATTCTCATTTTGTATATCTGGCCCGAAATATATATAACTCTTTTTAACACAAGCTTTATTCCTAACCTAAACAGACCAACCAATTCGGAACCTGTCTTCTCTATCTATTTTAATCTGTCTAAGGCGTCCGATAAGACGTTTGCAGGACTCTCTAAAGTAAAATTTTATAATGCTGACAAAGGTTAGTTTATTCACAAGCAACTGTCATCTAATTATATTGGTTACATTATACATTCACTAATATATCGCTGTGACAGTAATATTTAAAAAAAAATACAATAGTAGAAAAAATGTCGTATATTTATATCTTAATTTTTAAAAACGCATACAGGAATGATAGTATCGCATATTAGTTTTTTATCAGTTATTAAACATATTTATAGTACATGGAATGTTATTTACTGCTTACATTTTAAAAACAACCAATTGTTTAGATAGAGGATTTGAACTGTTTAGACAAAACACTCAGTGTTCCAGTTTGGTCGGTCTAATAATAGCCAGTACACTGCTTGGAAATTGGTTTCTAAATAGAGAACACTTATCTCTAAAACAGATTAGAACGGAAAAACGTTTTATTTGATAAGCTCTTTACTTATTAAAAAAGAAAAAAAAAGTTCACTTAATTTAGAAATAACGAAAACAAACTGGTAGGTGTTACTAAATATTAATAACTTCAACGAAGGTTGAGATAATCGCAGACACTTAATACTCAAATCACGCTTTTAAATGTACATTCAATAAGATTTAAATAAGCATAAAATGAAGTATGAACAGTACTTATTATTTTTTTAACTATTTGACAAAGCGTATTTGTGAAGAGGATATTGATATTCTTCAAAATAATATAAATTCAGCAGAAAAATGCGGACATTAAAATTAATAGTATGTATGAAAGATGTGTACTTATAAATAAATTAAAACACACGAAGTTCTGGTTCTTATATCTATGATGAATGAGATGAAGTTGGCAATCATGCTCATGTGTGTTATCATAATTCCACAAGGCAACTGAAGGATCAGTTCATTTTACCTGCCAATTTCTTCCGGGAAATGAAAAGTCAGCGTCCTTCCTACACCTGATTAAAGTGTCGATGTCGCTCTATACGACAGTGTCATTTCCGGCCGATGGCAAATTTTTAGGAAAACCTTTAGGAGTAACCGAACTTTTTTTTTTCGATTTGCGTAAATTACCATATCATCATAGCGTTCTATAGCTGACTAATGAGTAAAATAGGTATAATACAATGAAATATTCATAAAGGAAGGAATGTTTTTCTTCTTTCACATTCTCTTCAAACTTTTGTTCTATGTCAATAACATTGCTGGCTTCGGCAAAAATTGGAAATATTAGTTTATGATTAAATATATATATCATTTAATAGTTAAGGTAATTGCAATGGTCTAAAATGAATCTAAATACAAATCCATATTGTTGTTGTTTTGACTCTGAAGTAAATATTTATATATAATTTTGGAGCAAGGGTCACAACTAAATTCCTATTACAGCTTCTACTGTATTTGGTTTCATTTCACACAAAAACATAACTTTTAAAAATGATCTGAGTCAAAAGAGTGAAAACAGAATTTCAATGTCTGGAAATGATGATTTAAATGCTATAAAATAAAGCTATATAATAAGTTAAATTTTCCTTTTCTACATCCAAAATTTTCACAATAAACATTATTATTAATTTTCGTAATGCCGCTTTAACTGTGAAGTACTTTAATTACCAATTTTGGTTTCAGTTAAATACTCCATTTAATTCCATTTTAGTATAGGAAGTAGCCTTCTTAGATGTTCAATGGGAATTGTTTTCCTCATTTATTATTAGTTTTATTTAAATAACCAGGAAATAGAGTATATACAAAATGTGAGCAACATATGGTTTAAAAAGCAAATATAATCCAGTGGGAAATCCTTTAAGCTAAGTTCATTATTCGATGTAAGGTCAAAAATGTTTAGGAAAAAAAAAAAAAAAGACAGGAGAAAGATTGGAAATAAATATAAATATGTGATAAGTTTCTGATCCTAACAAGACTTCGTTCAGGATCTTAAGGTGTTATTCTAAATGTCCTGAATTTATTGGGATCGAGTTCTCCGTTATTTTGTCGTGTACTTGTCCGTATATTATGTTAATGAAAGAACGTATTTATTAAAATTAACCAACAAAGTTTATTCAAAATAATTGGATTTCTAACAATCATGATAATGAAATTTCTGATCATCAAGTATTAAAATAAAATTAAAATTTATAGTAAAATAAACATAGAAATTTCTTACAAAAATTCCATAACGATATGAAAAATGCTCACTTTTGAACTACGCAGTATCAGCGGTTGCATGTCAAGGTCACGTAATAACTGGTAAACAACTTCAAGGGAATAACCACTCGCAAAAAAAGGGCTTTTATTATGGATCAGATAATTTATTTCCGGAAGAATACACAATTTTAATATTAAAATAAAGTTACACTAATCAAGTATGGTGATATATCAGGCAGGATTTTGGAATTAAAGACAGGTTAACGTTGATTCAGTCACGTACGCAGAAATCGATTGAGTTACCGCTCATTCATACTACAGTTTAAAAAAAAAAAGGTACAAATAGAACAAAACACTCATCCACTCAATTACGTAACACATACATGTTAAATTATCATATATCATCAAGAACAAAATCAAAATCATGATTAGGTCAGTTATAAAAACATTCGCTATCGACACAAATACAAATACTAGATAATGTGATGTACCATACCTGCACAAGATGCTGACAGTACGTGAACAACAGCTGTATCTGGTCTAAGAACTGAGTTGAAAAATGATTTAGCTTGGGAATAAGCACAAAAATAAATTGCGCGAGACGGAGCAACACCGACTAGGTTTGGACCCAGACCTTTAAACAGAGCTTTTGGTCCTTCATTTTTTATTATGAGTCTGCAATATAGAAAAAAAAATCACGAATTAGAAAACCTAATAACAGTAAAATCAATAACAAACAAAAAAACTGAAAAGTCAACTTAACAAAATACCGGTTGTATTATCTGATAATAATAATCAAACTGTAGGTACCTAAGGCATTGCAGTAATCCTACAGCTTTGGACTGAGGCATACCATACGTGGATATTGCCAGCATTTGGTTAACATGCCTCGAAGAGATGGTGTTTATTTTTCTTCTTTGATGAGAGGGCATGATAGTTTGGCAGGTAACGTGCCTCCCATTCCCTTCAGGGGATGCTATATTGGGAAGCTGGATATGGAATCCTGAGGAAGAAGACTGAAGGCGCGTTTTTACCACTTCTAAAGGGCAAGTGACCACTGCGCCAACCGTTCCTGCCACCCTTTAATTACACAATTAACGAGTTTTATCCATCATGAAACATAATGAGAAACACTACAAATAGAAATAATATGACAAGACTCACCCTCCAGCCACTAAATGGATAACAGTATCTCGCTGAGAGAGGGACATAGTCATTTATCAACGGTTATCGTCTCACATAGGCTTAATAACATTAATAAATGAAAAATAAAACCAACGGATGAACACAAATTAACCAAAACAACTACATTTCATTCGCCTAGGAGGGCACAGTTCACACTCGAATGCAAGATATATAAGTAACACAACTATGATCCAAACTATCGATAAAAATAGCAAGATCACACATGCTCACAACAGAAGAGAACACATCGCAATGAAAACGAAAACATGTCTGGCTCGAACAACGGCCATCAGGCCAGCCAACCCGCCCCCGACAAATTCCCTAACCGGCAATATTTCTCTCCTCCCCCTCCGGTAGTCTACTCGCGGGCAGGTTATAATTGAAACGTTTGACATAAACAGTCCGGTGATGACCTGGTTGTCATGTTTTTATTATTTCATCAACGAATAAATTTTAATTTCATTTGACTACAGTGATGTATGAGAGACTGATCACTCTGGAAGTACCAAAATGGCCAAAAGAAAATATGGTGTGAAAATTAAGAATTATGAATGAAATAAAGATGATCTCTCTAATAAATAAGAATGTATTTTAATAACTTTAGGTTAAATTTACAACATCGAGCATTTTACTGTTATCTGTTATTGAGTTTATGGATTTGTGTTCTGCTTGGAGGTCTGTCAAACACATTAATTTTTAAGTCTCATACATCTTTTCAATTATATATTTATTTCATTTCTGATATCTCTTTCAGTTATGTACAAACATGTCGGGATTGAAAATAGTGCGGCAAGTTTACTCAAATATCAAACTACTGAGATAAACATTATCCAAGAACAGAAACTTGCTGGAACCTTGATTAAAGCGAAAAAAATAACTAAATTTTGCAATATTTATAATGATATCCGACCAGGCTCAGAAGGTAATGAAAAACTTGATATCTGTTGACGTTCTAACTCACTTTTATTAATTTCCAGCTGTGATTCATGAAGCTGTTTCATAGTGTACAAAACAGTATTTGTATAAGTAGCTTAGTGCTAAAACAACCGGTAGCAGTTTTATCGTTTAATTAAAGAGTATTTTAAGATTAATAGAAAACTGACATGCAATTTTAATCACTCAGATTTCTTCAAAATGCCAAAGGAAACTTAGTTGTATACTAAGTTATATATAGTTATACTTAGTTGTTTTTACTTATGTTTTTTTAAGGAAAATTATGATCTGAAATTTTGAAAATTATTATCTAGATTATTTTTTTTTTGTTTTTCATTGTGATTCTGAATAATAAAATCTGCTAAATAATTATATCCATATCATTAAACTACCTATTATTGATTACAAATAAAATTAATTTATTCCTATGAAAGACATTAAATACATCCACATTTTTAAGTATCTGGATATGTATTTTTTGGTTCAGTTCAGATACATTTATGAGTCACATTGGGTGGTGGTTACTAATTCTATATGCAGAAACGGCATACGACTGTAAAATCTGTATTAGTTTATGTATGTTTCTATTTATTTATTATTAATATATTTTTAAGTGACTTACTTTAATTTATTATAATTTTTACAGCTACATTTTCACTTCTGTAATAATAATTTTTTTTTTTTTTTTATAGGTAACTTCAATTCGAACTATTCTCTAGAAGGTGTGATTGTATTGATAAGGCATGGCGACAGAGGACCATTGACTCATGTTGTAAACGTATCGAACATCAATTGTGATGGGCCGTACAATCCTTTGTATGGTGCTTTTGAAAGTTATATTAAAAATATAACTGGCACGCCCGCACTTTCTCAGTTGCTCGGGGTATTTAGAAGGATACATTCACCTCTACCTGCCGGTGGCTGCGATATTGGATTGTTGACCAAAATTGGAGCCTCGCAACTACTTGCTACTGGAAGGGTTCTTCGAGAAGTCTACAAGCATTCTTTGAATATAAGCAGCAGTCGTATAAAAGAAGAGATCAAAGTATTCAGCACGTCATACAGTCGAACTGTGCATAGCGCTCTAGCTTTTCTTTACGCCTTTTTGGAGGAAGAAGACTACCCAAAAATTGTCTTTCAGTCTGTTTCAAGTTTGACATTTTGTTTTGATGATTGTGCTTGTCCCAAAGCAAATTATTTCCTAGATCAGTTTGTGGTAGAAAGTTCCAAACACCTTCGTTCTCATCCAGCAGTTTATAATTTAGTGAAGGCTGCTTCATCCATTGTTTATGAAATTCCTCATAAAAAGTTATCTACTGATCCTCACTCTTTGAAAGACGCCCTTCTGACATACATATGTCATAACAGTAAATTGCCATGTAAGTATCCATTTGCTTCTGACCAGTGTGTGAAGCCCGAGCAAGTTACTGGACTTTTTACCTACCTTAACTGGGAAACAAAACAATCGAGTAAAAGTAAACATTTTAAGAGAGGTTCATTGTTACGAGCTTATGGGTTATTGAAGAACATTGTTTCACAGTTCCTCCAGATGATATCAGAAAGGAAACCTAAATTTATCTTATATTCTGGCCATGATAAAACATTAAGCTTTCTTACGAGTGCTCTTGGTATAACAAGTGATGGAGTATTTTCTCCGTACTACGCATCAAGGCTCATCTTTGAGGTAATTTATGGTTTAAATTATTATAAAAATAAAAGTATTTAAAGAATCACATTAATTTATAATATGTGATAATCTTAATTGCTATCTCATTTACAAACTCTTTTGATTAGTTTTGGATATTTAAAATTTATATTATATAATGCTATATTAATTTGTTTAGTTGGGCTTTACTTTTTTCAATGGTTCTTATCATAGGATAGACATTAACCAATTATATCGGTGGCCTGCAATGAAAGATTTCTGCAAAAACTGTAGAGGTGAAAAAAAGGAAGAAACTATTTTAAAATACTTAAATCTGATGTAGGCCATCTATTTCCCTTTTTTATATTAGCTAAAATGAATTATCTGTCTTTGCTGATTTTGTAAATACCTATTCATCAATATTTTGTTTATTTACATATTACAATGAATTTTTATTTGAGATAAAAAAAATGCATAAAGAAAGGCAAAAATTGTGAGAATAAAACCATACAACAAATGAATCTAGTAAAAATGTTAGATTTGTCTTAATTTGAAACAAATGTTTGTCCAGGCAGATCTAAAAAATACACAATACTAAATTTTATACTTCTTGTATGATTAACTGAATGTGAAACAGGTCTTTCATTATACTCAGCATACTGCTTTTAATTTTTTAAAATATTTTAAAAATGTTTTCTACTTTAACAATTGTTTCTGAAATTCAAAAGAGAACAATACTTTCATTTCCAAAATATAAATTTAAAGTATTATTTGTATTGGAAGTTATATACACCATTATATATGTGGAAAAAAAAATGGTGAATCAGTTTTTGTAAAATATGTTGGTGACATTACTGCCACATTGATATACATAATGAATATAAACAAATCAATTCTATAGACAGAACTCACCTATACATAAGACATAAAGAAGGTGGGGAGGAAATATCCACCCTTGTTCCTATTTCCATTGAACTGATGATTATGAAAACAAAATAAGTGCAATACGGGTTATATTTGAGTTAAGACAATTGATCATCATCCTATACATCAAATTAAAAAATTTCCCAGCTATCCGGAAAGAGTAACTCGCTCCCCTTCCTTCTGTGCTAGTTGAAAGTACTATAAAAAAAAAAATGGTTATAGATTTTCTGAATAACCAAAGAGACTTCTTTTCAACACCAATAATTCTTTGTATTATGTCAGTCATAAAACCTGAATCATTTGTTATTAGTAATAGATTCTTTATTTATTTAAGGACATGTCTTATAAAAATGTTACAGGGAATATTAAGTAAATGGAATTTAATACCTTAGATTAAAATAAACAAAAGAATTAGTACATATATCATAAAATTTCAAAATAAAGTAACCTTTAGGTCTTTTAAACTAAAAAACCCAAACAACTTCTAATATTAATAGATTAAAATAGAAAGTACAATTAATTTATTAATGCATATTTATAAATTTTGGTTAAAAATATGGAGATATATTAGTCTTAGAGCCAGGGCCCAAAAATCGACCTCATCGCAGGCAAAGGTTTGATTGTAAATTACTAAAGTGTATGTTATTATGAGTAAAAAGAACCTTGTCTACGATTCCTGAGCCACTGCTTTGAAAAATAGCAACTGATTTAAAGAATATTCGACCAGTAATTTGAGGATCGAAACGGGAAATCCATTGCAAAAAATGTGAGAAAAGTTTTTATTTTTTCAACTTTTTTATCTGGATTTAGACATGTGAAAATCAAAATTGCTAAGAGAAAAAATCAGATTTTTTGGATATATTTTTTTTTCACATATAACTCCTAAATGATGCATCAAACTGAAAATGTACTCTATAATAAATTAAAAAAAGTTAAATTGTGCGTCGAATGAGTACATATACTTTATAATTTGGTTGCATGGTAAGGTATAAATCCACGGTCAACCAACGCTGATTTTTACCAAATTTGTCAAATACTAAAACTGCCATTTTTGAAAGAAGTGGCTCAGGAACGGCAGACATGGTTCTTTTTACTCAGAATAACATACATTTTCGTAATTTACAATCAAACCTTTGCCTGCGATGAGGTCGATTTTTGGGCCCTGGCTCCAGAGCTAATATACTATGTTAATCTATGTTCCTTTTTTTTTTCAGATATATAAAAGCAAAGAATTAAAAGGTGGTACTGTTGGCCCAATCGGAAGCGATTATTTTTTCCGATTACTGTTTAATGGTAAAGATATTACTACAAAAGTTCATTTTTGTAAGGGTGTTGCAAATCACCATCCTGCCAGGCAGCAGAACGTTACTGGTTTTAGAAACTCATCTTTCTTCTTATGTCCTCTTGAATCAATTGTTCGATTTCTTCATGATGATTATTTTTCCGCTTTTAATGCAACAAACTTGAAAGATGCTTGTGCTCTTTAAAATCTTTTTTTGTAATTTGTATTTAGAAGAAAACTTTTCCTGTACAGTTCTTGATTTTATCTTGTGATTCTGTAAGTTTTTAAGGTGTAAATAAATTTATTTTTTGTTGTAAATAATTTAGGTTGTATTTATTATTTTTTTGTACATAATGTTTGTTTAAACTTTGAATTGATTCAAGAAGTCATAAATACATCACAATATATTTAGATCTACATTTAAAATTAATGTATTGTCTATGTTGAAGTTAGATAATTTTACGAATTTCTGACTGGTATCGAATACCTTTTTATTCTTCATATTCAACTTTGATCTGCTTCTATTGATATATCTGTTTTTTTCCTAATCAATTCTTATGTCATAAAAACAGTGTATGTATAGTGAAATAACAGTTGTGATTATTTTTTTAATATAAGTTTTTTATTTTATGTAAGTATAAAATATGAAGTAAGTTTATAATACTGAAGCACACTCCATCTTGGCTTCTAGATTATATTTATGTATTCGCATCGAATAAATATTTAAAGAAATATTATTTATTTCAATACACTATTCAATTTCTATTGAAGGACTTTAATTCCAATTAAAATTTAAAATAATAAAAATTTAAAAATTATATAGATTTCTTGAAATAGATAACACTGCATCAGAAAGATAATTCTCACAGCAAATTACCTTTGTATTACATTATTATGCTTCATGATTTGATGATATAGTTAAACAACGGTAGAGATACAAATACAATATATAGTTACACTATATATTACAATATATAACTGAAATGCAGTTATACGAATTTATGGAGGATTATGTAAAAAGTGTCTGATTAATGTAAAGTTATTTATCAAACAAATTTATAACTCACAAGCATTCCTCCAATAAAATGTCAGTCTGTCCTCTTTTTTTCTTTTTTTTTTTTGTAAATATTTAAAAATAAAGTTTTTTCATAAAAAATAAATATTTATGTTCTCATTACAAATTTGATTATTATCTAAATTATTTTTTTTATTAAATAAATTATTGGTATTTGTAATTTTTGATTTATTTCCAAAACCTTAGAAACTTAAAAATATGTAATTTTAACTGTAGTATTTAAATTTAATTTAACATTTCACAGACTCTACATTATCACCAAACAAAATTTCATGGCTGGTCCAAACAATGGAAAATTGGACTCGACCAAGACAAATCACATAACATACTTCTACTCTTCAACGTGAAACTTGCACTCATATTCACCTCAACAATATCCGAATATCCTTAGACAGGTAAAGTTCAATATCTTGGACTGGGATTAGATAGAAGAATGACATGGGCCCACATATCATGAACAAAACAAAAGCGTTGGATCTAAGACTATTATATTCACTCTTTTTAAGAAGTGTGATATAAAAACTTAAGAAAGAAATTGAATACATACACTTAAGCCCATTTGGAACTATACTTCACGGATGTATGGGACATTCTAAAAGATGCACATATATAAACTACAAACTTTTCAATCAAAAACTGAAGAAAAGAATGGTTAGGGTGATCAGTAAAAAAATAGTAGTAAAAATAAATAATTATATTTATTTTTATTTTGGGCAAAAATAAATATAATTATTTATTTATTTTACTAATCTTTTTTTTTTTTTGACAGATCATTCCAACCATTCTTCTCTTCAATTATTCACTACAGTCAACCATCAATCAACATTTTCAATCAAAAACTTTTGGGACTATCTCCAAGGCTCCCTGGTACGTCAGCAATTTTACTTTATATAAAAACTTATAGATGCCGCCATACGAACACATTACAAAATATTTCACAATAACTTACACAGACCTACAAACACTGATTTAAAGCATGACCACACAAATGCCCATAGAACTAATATAATAATAATATGAGCTATTCCCTATAATAATAAAAGGAAAAGTTCCAATTTTAAATTCTTGGATACGTATTTATTTACAGTTTTTGAAGATTTCTTTCTTCGAGTTCTTTTTTTATTAGTAAGATTTACAAATTGTTTAATTAGTTTTTTTAAACCACTGACTTGCAGATTTAAAACACTGATCTGAGGCAAGCTCAAAACATGGACTTTTAGTGTCTTCTTACTTTCACTTACCTATATATGTAATGTATAGTAAGGGTAAGTATTGAGATCATGAAAATTGATAAAGGCATATATGAGCCTTGAGGTTTACATAATGACTAACACCAATTTCAACATTCTTTATTATTAATTTTAGTGACGTTTCTAGTGGCAAAATTTATACCTTTATCCACAGTTCTCTATTTCAACACTGCCATCACCTACTCTGGAATCAACTTACTCACTGTCTGTGTAGGTACCTTTTTCAACTAAAAATATCACTATAATGACATTACTTAAAAGTGTTGAAATTGGAGTTAGTCATTCTGTCAACTATAAGGCTCAGCGACTGAAGTTGTATGGTTCATAAAAGCAGATGGAGTAACTAGAGTTATATTGCCTATTATCGATATAATAAATAGACTTTTTGTAATTTTAATGGTCTTAATGATTTGTTATCTGTAAACTTGAAGCTTTAGCTGCGTTTAAAATGCACTTCAAAAATTTTATAATAGCCCAGCATTGCCAGAAAATAATTTCTATTCAAAGTAGAGCGGTAAGTGAAAGTTGTGTGTTGTGCGCACCAGATTTTTGTGTTAAGTCTGTAACTACACTGAAACTAGCCTTCCCAAGCTGTCAAATATTCACTCTTGTGATGTGTTTGTTATAGTCAATACTGAACAAAACTGTGGATTATAATGATACAATTGTGCTGTGAGTTTTGGGTTCAGGCTGATCTTTCAGATTTAGATTTCGATAGAGCCTGTTGGAGAGAGGGGATCAATGCTGGTATCAAACACTGCCTTTCCGGATTCAATCGCAATTATTATTGTTGCCTTTCCACCAGTATCTATAGTTTAATATTGATTCAAACTAAAATATATCGTATCCTAAAATATATAAATGGATACCTTCTTCTTGTAAATAGGAAAATACTCTTATAGTAAAGTGGTTCAAAATCAATTCATACTTTTGAATAAACTACAAGCATAAAATGGATACCTTCTTCTTGTAAATAGGAAAATACTCTTATAGTAAAGTGGTTCAAAATCAATTTATACTTTTGAATAAACTACAAGCAACATTTATATATCTTAAATATAAGTTTAAAGAGGATTATGAACTACTGTAGCTAAATATTGTCTGAAAAGTACAATCATTCTGCATAGGAATATGGTCTGTGTAATGAATGATTAATTGATTTTGAGACCAGATTGTATGATTGTAGCAGGTAATTATTTATTCTGTTACATCAGTTAGGGTCAGGAGACCTTGCTGGGGAACCTCCATTATTTATAAAGGGAGTGCTCTTAGTTAAATAATTAGGGGATTTTTTTTGTATGATGCCACAACCACATGATTTTTATTAATCATATGTTTAAATCATCTGTTTTTTTTTCCACCATTTGGATGTGAATCTGTGAACTAATTTATTTTCATCGTGAGATTTTGTGAGAGCTTATCAGAACAAGATTATCACTTCTGGAAGGCAGTCCTGCTGTACTTTAGCCAATATATGAGAAAAATTTTAAGTACGATTCTTTGATAAACATTGAAGAAGAATGAACCTCTTAAACATATAAACATATATGATTTTTATCTAAATCCAATGGAGGTAATTTGCAATAGATCTATATATTTGTTGTAGATTAAGTGTAACTTAATTTATTTATTACCAAAGGTAGAGGAAGAATATCTTAGAATAGAATAGTCTGTAAAAAATTAACTTATTAATAGCAAGCCCAATAGTTTAGAAAGCTTCATCAATTAGCCTGAAAAAAAAAATGTAACCATTGATATTATAACATTTAATTAAAATAATTTGGCATAAATTTGCCACAAAAAAAAAATGATAAGAATGTTCAGGGCTACAATTACTGGAGTATAGATTTTAATCTATATGTATACATTTAATCTTAATACAATACTTCAAAAAATCTGGTGCGCGCATCACATGACTTTCACTTACCACCCTCTTCTTAGCAGAAATAAGTATTTTCAGATAAGGGGAAAGTGAAAGTAAAAATTATTGACGCTATATTTATTTACAATTCATCACAGGCGGATTTACGGGGGGAGGAGGGCTTTCGGGCTGAAGCCCCCCCCCCCAAAATGATAAAATACAACCATGTTTTACAGAAAAAAATATTAAAAACTATCTCTTTAGGTATTCTTGTTCGTGTAGTTACATTTAATAGGACTTCAAGAACCACTTAAACACCATTTCATATAGGTAGTTAATTTCTTTCTTTTTTTTCTGATTAATTATCATTATTTGTATATGAAAAAAAATCTTTCGGGCTGAAGCCTCCCCCAAAATTAAATCCTGGATCCGCTAGTGCAATTCATTGTGGGTATTTTTATTTGTTTAAATATCTTTATATATACAAATTTTAATTATTATATCGCTGTATTCTATACAATTAAATATTAAATAATACCAACGATAACATTTAAGGAAACGGCATATGTATATGAACATAATATTGTAGGAGTCTGTATTATATGAAGCTCCTGTTAGGTATGGAAGCCTGTTGTAATCTTTCAGACCAGCTCGGGCAAGCTCGTATTCCTTCGATTTCTCTATTACAACTATTATCCGTTACAATCTCTTATTTTTCCTTTAGTTAATAAATTTCATATTTCACTAATTTTGATATCAAAGATTAATACGAAATGGTTAATTATTTAAAATAAAAAAACGTTTGCCAAGTAATGTCAGTATAGCTTCCTCACCGTTTTAATTGGCTAAAAAATATCTATATTACAAGGTCTAAAATATTTCGTATGATAATAAAGTCTCTGGGAGAAGCCGATTTCGGAAATTCAGCAATCCCTCAACATATACGGGTTTCATTGTTTTGTTCATCTATATATATATAAATGAATGTATGTCTTTCTGTCTGTTTGTCCTTTATGCATTGCCACGGGCGGATCTACGGGGAGGGGGGCTTTCGGGCT